CAGTTTTGCGGGTCGTGTGTGTCTGTCTCCTGTGTTTTGCCTGCATTTGTGTCTTCCCACTGGAGGCTGCATGGGCTCACGGAACCACATAGTTCAAGGATGGATGAAAGAGACGGTCTGGCGAGGTGACTCAGCGAGCTGTTCTGATCTTGCGAAGGGCCCGAGTTCAGTTCCCAGCACCGGTGTCATGCAGAAGGTCGCCTGCACCGCCTGCTCCTGCTCCAGCGGAGCTAACACCCTTTCTGGCCTCTGATGACGCCTGCACTCGTGTGCACATAAATACACTCGGACACAGTCATACACACACATATGATTTAAAACAAATCTAAAAGAATTTGGGGAGACCACCAGGTTCCCCAGAGAAAGCCGGCCGTCCAGGGATGGCATGCCACACTGGCTGATAGACACGGTCTAGCTGATTTTTTTCCTATTCTACATAGATTACATATGTACATACACACACACATACATTCACTGGGCTTTGATTTGGTCGGATTTTGGAGGAACAGGGTCTCATGTAGCCACGCTAGCCTTGTGCCCCCACCCTCCCCTTCTGAAGATGACCACAGTGGTGCGCACTCATATTTGAGGAGTGACCCCAGTACGAAGCGAGGCTTTGTGGCCATTCAGAAAGGGTGGGGTGTGTCACGGACCTGCCGCAGTGTTCGTGAAGTCCTCCAGTAACTGCCAGCTTCCCAGAAGGCTTTCCTGGGACCGATGTCCTAGAGGGGCCGTGCAGCCCGACCCCCCAGGAAGGAGGGGAAACAAAGGAGGAGTGCTCACCAGGCTTGGAACTCCTCCAGAACATTCTTGACTGCTGTCTGAAGCTGGCCGGGTAAAGACCTGGAGAACAGCTATTTCAGGGTGTGGGGCCCCGAGGTTTCAGGGCCGTTCAGCTCCTCCAGACAGTAGCCACCAGGAGCACAGAAGGAACAGGTATGGCTGAACCCAGCGTGCTTCGTGCACACCAGAAAAATGGATTGCCTCCAACTTTTATTGTGTCAGAGAACTGTATGTCAGCTGTTTCTCCCCAGCTGTCTGAAAATATGGAGACCGGGTTTCAGGCCTCACATCGCTGTGTGCCAGCGCTACTGTTCATCAGCCCCTGGACATCGCAGGAACTGGCTGACGGTGACAATGTGTTTCCCCTACTCTCAGTGGACTGGCAGCTCAGCACCGTCGGCGCCCTTATTACCTGCCCCACTGCATTTTTTTAAATCACTAGCGCCCTGACTAACTCAAAGCCCAGTGTCAAAACAGCCGAGCGGCTCTTCCTCCTACTCTTCTTTCCTTTGGACTTTTTTGTAACAGCATCTTACTCTGTAGTCTGTGCTGGCTACAAACTCTCAGCAATCCTTCAGCCTCTGCTTCTCTGGGACTGGGATACAAGTGTGAGCCACTGCACCTGGCTTTCCTGGTTTTAGATGCGTTGTAAAATGTTTCCTCACACGCAGGAAGAGGGACTTGTCTGCAGATGGCACATGACCTATACATTACTACAGCCGAATCCAAATACTGCATTTACCAGACATCCACAGTCATCCTGTGGCCGTGCCTGCAGGAGAGATGGAGAAAGTACACCCACGGCACCACAGCACCCACGGCACCCACGGCACCCACGGCACCCACGGCACCACGGCACCCACGGCACCCACGGCAGACACTGCTCCTAACAATGACTGGCAGCTGAGCCTGGAGGGGTAGGCCTCCCCCCACAGCTACTCAGGAGGCTGACACAAGTTGATCTCAAGTTCAAAACCTGCCTGCTGCCTGTCTGCTGCATGCTGCCTGCTGCCTGCCTGGGCCGCAGAAAGAACCTGAGAAGTCTAGTGAGATTCCATCTCAAAAATAAATAAATTAATTAAAAAGTTCAAAAGTGTCTGGGGTATGACTTACGGCCTTCTTAACAAGTGTGAGGCCTGGAGTTTCAGACCAACAGTGCAACAAAACAAACGACAGTGACCAAAAAGAAAGAGGGGGAGGGAAGGAGGGAGCTAAGAATGAATGGCTAAAAGCTACTGAAGATACGAGCACAATTACCCCACTCCCTTGTACAGAGCCACTCTTTCCTTGTACAGAGGTCTCACGGTGCCTGCACGCCCCCGCCCCATCTCTTGAAAAAGCATGGCACAGGTGAACCCTCTTGGTTCTCACATGATTGTGAGTCGCCATCCTAAAGTCGTCACGCTTGGGTCAAGGAGCTGCTCCTCCACAGTTTTTGGAAGGAGCAGAAGTGGAGGCCACTACTCTGTTCTCTTCGCTCCCCTCCCAGAGTAGGCCTCTGCTGAAGGGACCCTCACCCAGGAGGGCCCACACTGCACATGAAGGTAGAAATGTCCGTGTGCATTGCTGGAGTTGTGGACAGGAAGTGAGCGTGCGGAGTGTGCAGCCTCTCCTGTGTGTGTCAGCCAAGAGCCCTGCAGTGGGGAGAAGCAGCCATCTTGGCTCATCCACCAGAGGAGAACCAAAACAATAAACAACAAACAGCTTCAACTGTTTGCTAAGGACAGCATGGTTGTGGTTCCTGAAGCCTTCATCCAAGCACTAAGCAGGGCCCCCTGCTCAGCCTCAGAGAACAGGCACATCCAGAGCATGGCTGTAGACCAGTGAGGAATTGTCCTCAAGCCTCTTCCGAGAACCGGAAATATTTCAGTGGAAGCTGGTGTCTCGGGGCTGATGGACACTGAAAAAGGCACCTGGCAGCTGACTCCAGCGATGGCAGCCAGCACAGATGTCTTTATGGGGTTTGCTGTTGCTTAGGTTTATTAGAGAGCGAGAAACAAGGTCTTACTACCTAATCCAGACTGGGCTCAAAACCACAGCAATCCACCTGCCTCAGTCTCCCCAGTGCCAAGACTAAAGGTATACACTAGAGCCCAGCAGAAAGATGTCTTTGTGAAGCCTGCCATTGACACTCCAGACAAGCCAGGAAGGGACCAACAATCTCTCTCCACAGACTAGAAGAGTCCACTGTTAAAGCGCGCCACTGGCTCCTGCCTGAGAAGGGGTGGCTGCGGACCTCACATGCAGAAACCTGTTTCTTGGCGAGGAACCAGCCAGCCTTAATTCTAGCGCTGCCCGAAGCTCTGCCACAAAGCCAGTCTGCAAACCCTCCGGCTCTCGGCTGTGCCCTGCGAGGGCCTCGGCCCAGAACCTGGGGGAGGGACTCGGCCCCACCGCCCGCCCAGCTGGTCTCACAAGAGCGGCTCCTCCTTTATCTGGCTTGTCCCTAAGTGGCCCTTGCTCCCGTTTCTGAAATGAGGCCTTGTTCCACACCACACTCCAGACCTTCTCAGGAACGGCCATGCGATCCGAATACCAACCACCAAGTACGTCCCCAGCTCTCCCGGTGCTCTGCCGCCTCTGAACTACAGCAACGGCTTCACACTCAGCACACAGACAGTTCCCAAAAGAAACAGGATCTGAACCAGTTCTTCACGCTCAGAGGACATAGGACACCATGATTACACATGATTATACATGACTGCAGACACTGCCCACACACCCCACCCAGGAAAGCACACACTCTTCCTCGTGGTGCGCCCTTCCCTGCCCTGCCTCCCAGGCCTTCTAAGAGCAGTCTTCACTCTCAAACTGCTCCCCGAGAGCCAGTGGTAAACTTTCTGTAAATATTCAGGTCTTCGAGGAGGAGGGGTTTACACTCCTGCCACAGTTAGGATCCACAGAGACCTGGCTGGTCTGAGGACTTAACCGGCTGATGCGGAGATAAAGAGTGGACCTGGGCAGCCGGGCAGGAGCGGGCTTCCCCTGGAAAGAGAGCCAGCAGGTTTGTCCGGTTTGGGCATCCGTTTAACACAGTTTTAGAGTGCCACAACCCAGCCTCCAACCCCTGTGTGTGTTACAGGCTCAGTGACTCACCGCAGCCCTCTGACCAGGAAATTTACCTGGGTGGCTGGAGACTGAGTGTCCGGTCATTGCTGGGTAATTCATGCAATAACTTCCCGGCCAGCCCCGGGAGGCGGGAAGGGCAGCCTGAGGGGCAGAGGAGGGGGAAGCGGAGTCGCTTGGAAAGGTGGGGGCCTAATTCCCTGCTCCTGGCAGGAACTCCCAAGGTCCAGGTTCCAGGTTGTCCCGAACACATGTGACCTTGTGCCTGCCGAAAGGGCCCGTTCGGAAGACTGACGCTCATCCTAGGAGGAAGGGTGGCAGCCAGCTCTAGCTGCCCATGCACCATTGTGTCCTCCCTGGCCTGCACTCGGCTAGTCACGGCTGACAGAGCCTGGCTCTCTTCATCCAGTCTAGCTGGCGTGCCCCGCGGCGGGTGTATGCTTAGGTGGATTTCTAAGCCTCAGGCAGGAGGTGGAGCAGCAAAGTAGACCCGGAGCCTGACACACCTGAAGTTGAAACAACTACTGATCCTGGAGGCCCCCCACCGTGGGGTCGAGGCCAAGTGACAGTCCCTTCCCCACTCACTCCTCCTCCCACTCCGACCCCCCCCCACAGGCCTGTGGACTCAGAGGTCACCTGCAGAGAGCAGAGTGATGTCACCACTGTCCCCAAAACGACCAAGGAGGCTGAAAAGCTCTACAGTAGGGAAAGGAGTGTCACAGTTGTGAAGGTGACCCATCCAAGTGTCATTACCGGGTCCCTGGGATGGGGCAAGGAGGTGCCCCCACCCCGGGCATCCTCTAGCCTTTCTGCTCGGCTGCTAGGCCAGAGTGCCAGGCCCACCCTCTCCTCAACAGAGGGTCCCCATAAGTACGGCGCAGACGAGGCCCTGCGGGGTGCCAGGAACGCTCCTTTGAGTTCCATCTGCTCTGAAGTCACCTCGCTGGCCAAGCGCAGCGGGATGCGCCTCCAGGGGAGGCCTGGGGGGAGGCCTGGGGGAGGCCTGGGGGAAGGTCTGGGGATAAGAGCAGGGGGCTAGGCCTGGGGGGAGCCCTGGAGGTAAGACCAGGGGCTAGGCCTGGGGGGTAGGTCTGGGGGGAAACCTGGGGTGGCCCTGGCCGGGCCAGGCGAGGAGGAGGCGGCCGCCCTACCTGTGGTGGACAGCACCGTGCTGGCGAAGAAGAGCGCGGACGTGAAGTCCCAGTTCCAGTTCCCCGAGGCGTTGCTGAGCACCGACACCCCGTAGTTGCTGGCCTCCAGCACGCGGCTCAGGAAGCGCTCGAGCTGCGGCTCGGACAGGCAGGCGTGCTCGTCCAGGAAGCGCCGCGTGAGCTTGCGCAGCTCCTGGCGCAGCAGGTCCTCGTAGGGCAGCTCCACGGACGAGAAGACCACGGCGCCAAACACCAGGTACAGCAGGTAGCCCAGCACCAGCAGGCCGAAGCACCAGGCCGAGCGGTGCCGCTCCACCAGGCGCACGCACGAGCTGCCGGCCAGCGACTGCAGCATCTTCCCGGCCGGCTGCAAAAGCGAGAGCCGCGGGGGCGCGGGAGCGGGGCGCGGGGCGCTGGGCGCGGGAGCTGGGTGACCAGTGCCGGGCGCTGGCGGCGGGAGCAGCGGGAGGAGCGGGAGGAGGAGTGCTGCAGCCGGCGGAGCTGCTGGCCGCCCGCGCCCCCTACCTGGCTTCCTGAACCGGAAAGCGCAGGCTTGGTGGCGCCGGGCCACCCGGAGGCTGCCAGGCTCTGCTTCCCTTCCCAGTTCCCCAGTGCAGTCAGCAGGCCTGAGTTGCGTGTGTGCGTGCGTGTATGCGTGTACGTGTGTGTGTGTACGTGTGTGTGTGTGTGTGTGTGTGTGTACGTGTGTGTGTACGTGTGTGTGTGTGTGTGTGTGTGTGTGTGTGTGTGTGTGTGTGTGTGTGCTGAGCAGTAGCGCTCGTCCACCCCGGCCCCTCTCCTGGTCACTTCTGTCCCCCGGCAGTCCTCCTGCTTAAAGCCGCTGCCACTAAATACAAGGGTACAAATAGAAACCGCCTTCCTCTGTCTCGCTGCCGGCACAGCTGTGCTATGTGCTGCCCAGACGATGAAAAATGCGACTAGAAACGTCCTCCTTCTAGAACAGAAAGAGTGTGAGGGTGAGGAAGACACAGCCTCTGAACTTCAGCTTAAACAGTGCCCCCAAGTTCAGGGACTCCGTGTCCAGCGGACAGACATGGAAACGTGGACTAGGGTACTGAGTAACTGATGGCGGATCAGGCTGTGAAAATGAGTTTTACGGTTCTGCATAAATATTCATGTGGCCATGTGCTTCAAGAGTTCAAGGGTCACGGAGGGGGCGGTACGGCCGAGTCTGTGACACTTCCTACAGAAAGGAAGCAGTCATGTACCCGAGACTCAACGGAACAGCCGTATAATGTACCATGCTTAGCTGTCTGAGGGTTTCATTGCTGAGGAGAGACGCCTTGACCACAGCCACGCCTATGAAGACAGACATTGACTGGGGCTGGCTGGCGGTTCAGAGGCTTAGTCCACTATTGTCATGGCAGCCGGCACGGTGCTGAAGAAGAAGCCGAGAGTTCTACATCCGGATTGGCCAACAGCAGGAAGAAAGAAAAGCGCTGGGGCCAGCTTGAGCTTCTAAAACCTCAGAGCCCACCCCTGGTGACACATTTCCTCCGACAAGGCCTGGCCTCCTAATACGGGTCTACCGGGCCATTTTCATTCACACCATCACACCCATGCACATAAAGTCCAGATTCAGGGACTCCTGGATTCCATGGAGCAGGGCTCAGTGGTGAAGGGCTTGGACCCCAGACTCGAGGTCAGATCCTCAGGGCCTGTGTAAAAAGCCAAAGGTAGCACTTGTCGCCCAGCACTGAGGGGTCCCTGGGGCTCGCTGCTCAGCTGGCTTTGCTGGCTTAGGTTCATGGAGAGGGCTGATAGACATGCCTGATGTTGACCTCTGACCTCCACAGGTCCACATGTGCACACAGGACACACATGGACACAAATAGGGAATGGCTAAGTAAGGCAAGAGTGACAGAAAAACTTTGAACACTTTTCTTATTATCACCAGGATCTTTTCGCTGTGGGTTCCGGTGATGGAACTCCTGCTACCAGACCTGGTGGCACACACTGCCCTGTCCGGCTGATCCGTTCCTCAGCCAGGCCATGGCTGATCTTCAAGGATGAACTTGAAGAAGGGGAGGCAGAAGCTAAGCTTGCGCCAAGCGTGTGCAACATTTGTGCTGTACTCTACAGTAGAGGCGTACCTGCAAGCAGATTGACACATGGAAACAGAGCTGCCTCTGGCGTTGTCTGGGAAGAGGAGGGAGGTGGCGTCAATATCTTATGTTTTAAAAATAGTTCTCACTATGGCAGATAATGTTAGCTGGAAAAGCTTTCAAATAAAACTGAATTGATCCAAATACTTAAAAAGGTTCTCTCATCTGCCCACTTAACAGAAGTTCTTAGAAATCACATATTCTCATAGGAAGTGTGCTGCAGATTCGCTGGGTTTTAACTTCACGAATAATCTCTCCTAGATTCCTCTCCATCACTCCCTGCATTTCAGCCCCCTTGTTGGTCATCCGTTCTTGCCTTCTTCCCCTCTCTCAAGCACACACACACCTTTTCTTTCTTTTATTTTCTTCTCCATTAATTTCTTTACTCACGTTGCATACTGATTACAGCCCCTCCTCTCCTTCCAGTCCCCTCCCCCAATCCTCTCCCCTCCTCCTCAGAGAGGGGGAGGTCCCGCTTGGGTACCAACCTGCCCTGGCTCATTAAGCTGCTGCAGCAGGACTACAGGCATCCTCTCCCACTGCGGCCAGACAGGGCAGCCCAGGAAAGGGATCCAGAGGCAGGCATCAGGGTCAGAGAGGGCCCCTGCTGCGGTTGTTGGGGCATCCACACGAAGACCAAGCTGAGCATCTGCTACATATGTGTAGGAGGTCTAGCCCAGCCCACGCATGCTCTGCGGTTGGTGGTTCAGTGTCTGTCACCCCCATGGGCCCAGGCTGGTTGACTCTGTGGATATTCTTGTGGAGTCCTTGACCCCTCCAGCTCCCTCAACCCTTCCCCCAGCTCTTCCACAGGACTCTCTGAGCTCTGTCTAATGTTCGGCTGAGGGTCTCTGCGTGTTTCCATCAGCTGCTGGGTGGAGCCTCTCAGAGGATTGTGCTAGGCTCCTGTCTGCAAGCATGGCAGATAACATTAATAGTGTCAGGGGTTGGCTCTCTCCCATGGGGTGGGCCCCAAGTAAACCTGATTTTCTAGAAAAGCCAGTAACCCACCTTGGCTGTTTGGTGTCTGGGACACTTAGTGTCAGCCAGCTCTTCTGTCTGAGAACCTGAGTTCCTTCTCTGCCTAGTCCTGTTCTTGTCACACATTGTCCCTGTCACACACAGTCCCTGTCACACACTGTTCTCCTCACACAATGTTCTCCTCACACACTGTTCTCCTCACACACTGTCCCCATTACACACTATCCTCCTCACACACTATTCTCCTCACACACTATTCTCCTCACACATTGTTCTCCTCACACACTATCCTCCTCACACACTGTTCTCCTCACACATTGTTCTCCTCACACACTGTCCCCATTACACACTATCCTCACACACTGTCCCCATTACACACTATCCTCCTCACACACTATCCTCCTCACACACTATTCTCCTCACACATTGTTCTCATCACACACCGTCCTCATCACACACAGTCCCCGTCACACACCGTCCCCGTCACACACCGTCCCCGTCACACACCGTCCCCGTCACACAC